AGACAGAGTCAATTCAAACCATATAGAACAAGTCCGGGGCTCACAGAATTATGAGACAACGTCCACGGTCGTCCAGCGACCGCCGCGGCTCGCTCGCAAAGCTGGATTTTCTCCTCCATTGATTGAGTGAAAGATTGCAAGACGACGACGGGAATCGTCGATGGACGAGGCCCTCGAACTCTCCGGATATGGTCACATCATCCCATCCGATCGAGATTCTAAACGAGCGTTCTCGTTCGGTATCGCTCGTCACCTTGCGGGAATTGCCGGGAAGGGAGGATTGGCTCTGGGTCGATCACCAGCAGACATTCGCAGGCTTTCGAGCTCGTTCGAGTCCATGACATAATTACCCGTGAGCGCGGGAGATTTGCTTCGTCGTCGCTATTTTCGGTGCGTGTGCGACTAGTTAAGGAGTCCGCGGTCGAAACTATCATTAAGTCGGGGTCACTCGAACCCTCCGCGTCACCTCAATCGACTCGTGAAGCTTCCGAGGGAAGCGGGGGCTCTCATGAGACTTCGACGCAAAAATTTTCTTGCCTCTTTGTCTCACAGCTTACAAATCGACGATTTGACGCTAAATGATCGTAGGGAGGAACCGTTCATCCGCTGGAATGCGAGGCGCTCACGTCTGTTCGGACAAGGATGGGACCCTAGCCTGCTTATCTGGATCGGAGTGTCCCTTTCGAGAACTTTCCCTGAACGGTCCGGCGGTTGCAGATTTCATCCAGGGCTTCTCCGGATGCGACATCTCGTGCGACACCGCTCTTAAATATTTGTATACGCACCATCCGTCAATCGTTTGTGCCTAACGGAGGTATTACGGATCAGCGGAGCGTCCAAGCAAGCACGCTCATATTTGCATGATCGCACGATACATCTTGTCCTGCACAGCGGTAGTGACGATGCGATGTCGGCGTCGCGGAAGATTCCTCACACAAATCATTCTTCTGTGCCCAAGATTCTTGGCATGTGTCATTTCGACTCCGCTGCGCTCTGACTGAGACCGAAAAGTTCCGAGTTTACGCAGGGATCGAGCCTCTGATGGCGAGGGTCCTGCTCTTTCTCGGTTACTAGCTGCCAAAAGCTTTAAATGAGAGCCGATTCGCCAAATTCAAACCGTTCGGGTCTTGCGCTTTTATCAGCCCGCTCATCGAACTCTCCTCTGACCGGAGTTCCTCCGCTCTGTCCGAGATTCCGTCGTAGTCTCAAAATAAACCCTAGTACAATGCGTATGCAAATCGCGAGCTCCCGAAGCCCTCAAGCTGTGGACTATCCAGCTGCTACTGCCCTCGCTTTCGTTCTGCATACAATTTACAAGTACTCACCGATCTCCTGAACGCGATTCGAATACACGCGTACCCCATACACGTCATTAGAGATCGCGGGAGGAGAGGTCTTCCAGGACGACTGATTGAAACCATCCGTTCGTGAATATCGAAATTCTCTTGAGTTCTCATCCCGGGCGCTAAAACAAGAATTCTCTCGGACTCATAGAGCCCTTCGATCCAGACTCGATTTTTGACGCTCGACGATATGCTCGGAACGAGATGGAGCCCGGTAACGAGGCGGAGTGTTTCCAGGAATGGCCGAACTATGCTTCGAGAGAATTGCGCTCAGGATTCTCGATGTTTCCAATTTCCAAGCTCAATGGGCGACTTCAGAGAGGAGAACTTCTCGACCTCGCGCATCCCAAGGCGAGAATCTGTGATGATGTTCGTCGTGGAGACAAGGGCTTGCGACAGGCTTGACGATGATCTAGGTACGTGGGTAATTCAAGTCATCGTCAGAACACTCGAGCGACTCACTCTTCAACGCGAGAGAGTCCCCTATCGTTGCCCCCTGAGCCGGATCTGACTGGCGAAAAATCCATCTGGCGGCGATGAATTGAGACGGGCTGGCCCTGATGTCACTGGGATAAGCAAGAAATGCAGTCTGGGTTCTGACACAGCGAGAAACTTTCGTAGGATGGGATATTGACGATAGACTATGCGCTGAGCAGATGGAAACGTTCGATCAGTATTCTCCTCCCCTCACGGTCCTTCATCCTCCACGAGCATGGTTTCCGTGCACGGAACGAGGCGACGCTCAGTTGGGAACTTTTGGATCAACAATAATTTTCCACTTGCCTGCGCCGCCATTCCGTTTTCTGATAAGGCGAACAGGCCTACGTAGGTTTACCGTTCGGGAGCTCTGCGAGCCCGTAGCACTTGGCTCGTTTCCCGACAACGGGCCCCGGAAATATTACGGCGAAACGAGATAGTTTCCGAAAGTTCTGAGACTGCAGCCACAATGACCTTGTCCGTGAACTTGGCTTTGGATACGACGTCTAGGCACGGTTGGGGAAAGACTCGTTCCTCGAAGGAGGGATATTCGTGTCGGATTGATGCTTCAAAGAAATTTCCGCAGAACTCGATTTCTCTCGACTGCGAGTGTTTCACGCGAGCTCTGCGGAACATCGCAGAATGACTCAATGTGTTCATCGGCACGAAGCTCCGAGATCCTCCTCGAAACCCTCGGTCTCATGTTGTGGCCTCTTCTAAGAAAGTCTGCCAGCCTCGGGGTCTAAGAGTCGCTCGAGAGTAATATCATTGACAAATGTTTGCCGCTTTGGGAACAATGGAATCTCTACAATGTCGAAGGAGCGGCGAACGACCCGGAGAGGGTCTTCGCTGCCTCGCTACTTCCCCGACTTTGCAGCTGCCCACGGTTCGCTTTCGACTTTTTACACTTGATCGTAAAGTAAGTCGATCGGTCAGGCAGCGGATGAATGCTCGAGAAAGACAACAGATATCAACGAGCATTTCCTGGAAATAAGCGGGGGATTCTAGAGTTGTAGAGTATCTATGCCGCCTCGTTCAAGGGCGGTGTACGGGGATTTCCGAACATTCTGCTGGCGCGCGCCATAGGATTATAGAACGGCCTCGTCTCGGGTACGACGAAGTTGCCAAGAGCTGACAGGAGATGGACCAACGGCCGCGGCCTCAAGTGCAGTGGCGTCTGGGGCCCTACTCTCGAGCTGATTACATATTTGAGAGTAACAGCCGAGGAGTCAAGGGGAAAACGAGCCGGGGAAGGGGAAAATAGAACTCCCAACTAATCACCAGCTCCGGATGGGCTTCGGCGCGCGGTGGTGATCACAGGATACGTATCTGTCGATTCCACTCCGGATGACGAGTGGACGCAAAGGCTCCCCGGCAGCGGATCGATGGCATATCTCATCGCGCATCAGAATATTGTATACTTAGGAAGAGGAATCCGTCAGCGGGGCGTGCGCTCTCCGGATGTATCGATCTGGCACTCATCGAAGGATCCTCCCGTCGATCATAATGAAACTCGAAGAAACCCTCGCATCGACCTCCGCTCGAGCGGACTTCGTCTTCGAATTCTTCGGGTGAAGATTGAGATAGCTGGCAGCAAGCGTCGAATACTACGCGATAATTGGGATGACCTATGGACGGCGGCTCGAGAACCAGCAGATTGATTTCAATTATGATATTAGGTCTGAGACCAGAAAATATCCTTATCAAAATTTCTTGAGTTCGAATGCGGGTTTCAAGTGGAGACTTTTTCGCCAATCTGTACAACAGAAGGTCAAACATGTTGCATTTGATCTTCGCCCGAGATTGACCAAGTCTGGAATGCTTCGCCGATATGAGCTACTTCAACTATCACGAGCCGATCTCGTACGGATTTCATAGATCTAAATCGCGACGTGGAACAAGACGAATCATTGATAGATGAGAGTTGAACAGGAGAAAGAAGCGCAGGTTTTTAGTGAGTGCGAGTCTCACACTACCCGGATTGATTTCTGGGTGTGCATAGGGCATTTTCCTGCTCTCGAGAAACCAAAGAAAAAATAAAAAATAAACAATATTATGAAGATTCTATTCTTTTTTTTTCACCCATCATGAAGCTCCTCATTGTTTCCATAGATATTGAAACCTAGATGTGCGGTCTCTCTCATCGACAACACAATTCGAGAACTCAACCATCGTCAAGCGTAATCGTACGCTATTCCCTCAAATGAGTCTTGACTCATTTGATCTCCGAAGCTTTTTTGCTGGTTTCGAACGAGCAAACAATTGTCGAGGAGCAAGCAAGAAGATGACCAAGAATAGAAGGAAGAAAATGCAAGGCCTCAGAAACAAGATTGGAGGGAGGAGTAACGCCCACGGGCGTAGTCGTCCGGCTTACGAGTGAGCTTCAAATTTCGCGGCTGACGACAATGAGCCAATATCCGCCGGAACAAATATGTGCTCTTAGCGTTGGTGTACCCCGGAATGCATTACGAAACGCCTAGTGACCGGTACGGACGCTTGGTATAGATATGTCCCGGGCTTTGAGGCGCCTTACGGAACCTGCTCAAGCTATTTCTGCTCAGAGATCAATTTCTCCACTTCAGCTGTTATGTAGAAAAATGGAAGCTCGATCAACTGACGAGCTTGGCCGCGAATTTCTTCGCGTGTCCTCTCGATCTGCGGTTCGGTTATGAGCGTTGATTCCGTCGTTTCTCCTTGGGCTGCGCGCGGATCCGGTATGAGCGTTCCCGAAAGACAAGCTGTATGTCATATTTGAGAGCAATCCGATCGGAGCGAGCAGCCCCAGAGGAAAGACCATGGATGGCGATCCGCCACGAACGATCCCGATCGGGATCGAAGAACCTCGCATATCGTAATCGTCCGCACTCGATCGTTTCCCTCAGGCTAACCATCGATTCAATTTCGAAGGAGCTTTGCCAATAATTCTCGGGAACTGACCGGGCCTGTCGACGTAGGAATGGTCGAGTTGGGTCACGAGAGCCTACGAAGGTTGATGCGGCTGACCGTCGAATGATCGTGGCTGTAAATGATCGTGGCCACCCGACGCGAAGAAAATACAAGAGTTTATCTCAACAGATTTGAGCCATTTATTTCCCGTTGAACGATCGCAGGAGCCTCTGATGCGGGGAGTTGAGTATATTCACTTGTAATCCCAGATGGAGAGTATTCGAATGGCTCTATTCAGTTCTCGGCACATTCATTAGGCTCTTTCGGCGTGTTCCCTCCTCGCCGGAGTCGGACGGTCTTCCCGCTCGCGTAAACCTTCACCTTCTCGATGTCTTCAATTTCCGGCTGCGAGCAGATCTTCACGTGAACTCTATCGCTTTTCCCGCTCGAATACGCGAGCATAAAATTAGCACTTGTGTGCGCCCATACGAAGTCGCAGCTCTGTGAAGCTTCATCGTAAACGATACCTGAAACGAGTAGCGTGTAAAATAATATCCGGTGTTCTATTCAAACCTCCCGCGACTTGCGATTTCGGACGGATGAGCTCGGCGAAGTTCGCGAGTGGCGCAACCCGAAAACGCGTGAATACCGATTATTCCAGCGGCAGCTCCGTAGGGATTCGCTTCCCCGGAAACGAGCGGGCTCGAGACGAAATTCCTCTCCAGAAACGTTTGAAGACGCATCACTGGTGGCGTAGAGTTTCGAGTATCATCATACGTCGTCGACGGTATCCCCAATGCGTCCACGCAGCGACTCGCTAACAGGGTTCGTATGAGATGCTCCCCGGTGCCTGGAGACCATGAGAAGCATAAGAAATCAGTCCACGGCCATCTTTCACTGTTGGGCATAAAGGAGAAATTTGCGGATCCGAAACATTCCTTGAGGATGATCGCATGCAGGCATGCAGGAAATGGTCGAGCCATCGACGGACCTGATGTCGAGATCCCGACGCTATGGTTCGCCCAGCATCCCGCACCGTAGACTCCAGCCTGACCGACCCGTCCCGGGTACTTGAGGAAAGTTCCTCCGCTAGAAACTCCGGCGCTGATCATCCCTCCCAGCAAAACGACAGCACCGACAGTGTCGAAAGCAACTTCTTCATCCGGGTCAGGAGACTTTGTATTTCGCCCTCCGAGCAATGCCGAGCGTTTTGCGAACATCTACGAAGTTGGGTGGGAAAAAGGACCAATCATCTGGCTTCCTATCACAATAACCCTTCCTCAACTCTGGAATTCCTACCGAATCCCGGAGCTGCCTCACCTTCCTTTGACTCTCTGTGATGAGATCCCTCCGAGCGTTCTCGCCCCCGTTGCCGATGAACCACCGGAGAGCTCCCTCACCCGCCAGACAAGCTGGCCCGCCTCTGATGGTGAGCAAGTGCGCGATGTCGATAGCGTTCGATGCATCGGGCACGGCGCAAACCGAAGCTCCGTTTTGCGTGTATCCGTCTACGATTGACGCATCACATTCTACTTTACAGTCCCGATTCACTTGCGATCCTGAAAATATCTCATCAGAGGTTGACGGACTCTCTTACGAATGAGAACTCAATACTGCCAGTTCTGAGGAACGAAAGCTCACCGATTCCCGCGTTAGTAAGTGGCGAATCCTCAAGCGCTCGGATGCATTCTTTCACCACAGCCATCGCGTCCGACCCTGTCTGTGCTGCTCGTTGGCCACGGCGGATCGCTTCTGCCAGAACGGCACGGAGTAACTCAGTCTTCTGTGGTTTTCGTTTCCCAACCCCCACGTGCAGGATGATGCACAAGTCGTCCATCGTCAAGGATGAAGTCTGGTAATTGCGGGGGGCGGAATCGTCACGTCCTGAGTAGATTCTCAATTATTCGGAGAAAGGGGAATCCTGCTGATGGTGAAGCTCCGCCACTCTATCCACTGAAGAAGTTGGATGTCTCGAGAGTGGTAACTGATCTAGACAAGGAATTGTATGACGTCGACCGTTCCGTTTTCTATGACTCGGCACGCCTGCGATCCTGATTACGCGCTGACGACGAGGTGCAGGGTTTTCCGGCTTGCGGGACAGTTCTAGGTTCAGTCGAGCCCAGGGCTGCTGACTGAGGGAATTTCTGGGCCCAGAGCGAATCCTTCGGTCCACTCTTCCATACAGGGCAAAGATTTTACTGCAACCCCATAAAGAGTGGGTGGTATCGTTTGCCGGAAGAAGGACATCAGGATCAGGCTAAGGGGGGAAAAAAATTCCATCCAAAGCGACCCTCTGCGGGAGCTACGGTTGAATCGCCCGGCTCATCGACGGGAATCAAGGTTTCGAACGCAAGCTTGCGGGTGGAGAATCATATCGACCGCGGATCCTCTCAGTTGGATTGTACGCAGGGCCCGTTGACATCTACCCAGCATGCGCGATCGAATCGTAAACAACAGGAGTGCACCTCTCGAGGCGAAACCGGTAGAAACAACGACGGATTTCTCCGAGCTCGTGGGCTTCAATTCGTTTTCCAAGTGGCTAGGCGATGGCGGCCGCGGGGCAATCTCCGACCAATGAAGACCAAATCAAACAGCTCAAAGACTTCCTCAGCAGCTATAACAAACTCACCGAGATGTGCTTCACTGATTGCGTACACGATTTCACAGGTACGTTCATCTGTCAACTCCGTGATACCCCATCCGCCCGATACGTGGGAATTGATCGCGATATGATCTCAGCGATTTATCGCGATGATCCAGAAAACGAGAAAATAGCACCCGATGAACGAAAAATCCTTCTGCATTATGAGGGCTTCTGTCTCAGCTACCTCTTGTGGAGTCCGGCGGGACTTTCGAATCCGAATCCGATTGGTTTTGAAGTAGACCAAGACTTAGCGGCGTGCTACCCGGGGGGCCCTTACCTCCTACACTGAGATTCCGCATGCAATTACTCTTCTGTCTTGGTTTCTGAAAACATTGGTCTCAAAGCGGAGATTTCGGTGAATAATGATCATTATCCGTTCATTTTCAGTGCGCACGGTCCGGGACAAGGAGGAGAAATGCTCCCTTTGGTGCATGGAGAAATATCTCAAAATGAATCAGCGCATCTCCCAAAGATTCCAGGAGTTCCAGTTGACGACAAACGAGGCCGCGATTGCGGCTTCGGGTGTAAAAGTCTAGTCTCATCACAAGTCTAGCCTGCGAAAGCCAACGGATCTAGGAAATTATTGTCACTATTACCTTAATAAATTGCCTTTTACTGAATGATAAGACGAGCGTTTCGTACGTGGAAATGCTCTCGATATCCGGCAGAGCCGTCCGATAATTAGGAGACCTATTCTTCTTCAGAAATCAGTTTTATTACCGATTTCACTCGCTTACCTAACGGAAATAATCAAAGTGTCCATCCGCAAGCAGGAGGGAACTCATCCTCATCCTTTCGACTCACCAAATTACAATTATGCATAAATGATATAAAGCTAAGGGACGCGTTCATGGCTTCAGCTCGGTCTGTACATGGCGATGTACAATACGGTCCAATGATGTGCACCTGGAAGCGAATACCGCATCATTATTATCTGGCGAAGAATGTGTCGAGTATTTATTTCGCTATACGTATTGGATAAATGCCGATGCCTTGGCTCTCACCAGTGTTCTATTTGAACGAGAACGCCAGCTTGGGTCGGGATTTCCCCGATTTATTGAGGATCAGCTGTTGTTCTTCTTTCTTCTTGTTCCGCTTCTCCAATTCGAGCGCCATTCTGTCTTCATCGATCTTTCGTCTCTCCTCCAAGAGCTTCAATCTGCGGAACAATAAACCCCGAGTCAGAATGGACCATCGGAACCTTCGCGTAGGTAGCCCGCCCCCTCCGAGGGGGAGTCTGATGAGTTCTCACCTTTCCTCGGCAACTCTGTGAAGGCTTTCCGCCGTTTGCTCTTGAAGCTCTTTGAGTTTTTGGCGAAGATCGGTGATTTCCTTGGCCGAGCTCTCTTGGATCTGCTTGATTTCCTGTGAAGGGCATCCTGTTATATCGGATCTCCATCCCACGAGCGTTGCGCCGATGCTCGATCGGCGGGCCTGTCGGCTTCACGCCACCTCGAGGACAGGCGAGCGGATGTGTCAAAGGGAGACGGAAATTGAAGAAAATCTCTGACGAGAAGGAGGTCCCTTCTTTCTCCGTGCTGCTGGGCATGGTACTTACGACTTGGTGGGCGTGCCACCCAAGAAGACCGAGCGGCCCTATCGAATGTACATACCTTGACGGGTCGCCGTCTCACCGTTTCACTGATTCCTCACTCTCTGCATCTAAGACGCAAGACAAAGAGGGAAGGATGTTCCTCACTCAAAAATAAACGCCACTCGACTCATAATTAGCTCATGAGCCCGAGGGCCGCATTGATCAATGAGATTTAGCGGAGTGTGGGAACGTGCTTCGGTTCGGATCCTGCCGTGGAGAGAAACGTGAGGGATAACCATCTAACGCAGAACACGACTTTCTGCAGACGCAGACCCTGAGAAAGCCGTGGTCTCTGTCTTCCCCTTTTTCGCTTGCCAGTTATTCTCAGCAGTCAAAGCTGCCGTGGGAGGTTTGATGAGTCGCGTTTTTCCCGGTACACTAATTCGCAATCATTCTCGAATCTATCCGACGACGCACGTATTCATGTCGATGTGATCGGTCTGTGCGCAGAAGGTTCTTTATTCGCGGCGGGATACTTCTGCTCCACTTCTGCTCAGGAAATACCATTCGGAGGTAACCCTATGGAATTGCGTACCTCTCTTAGCTCAAGGTTGATTCTCGCCAAGTCATTGTTCTCGTTCCGGATCTGTTCTTCCATTTCAAGCCTCAGATCCATTCGGATTTTTTCTTTGCGCAAGTCGATTTCCTCCTCGAGTTTTTTCGGCAGCAGCTCGGCGAGTTTCCGTTCGACTTCGGCGGCGATTTCCTTCTCTCGTATCAACTCTCGGCGTCGAATTTCGAATGGATCCGGCTGGAATTCGAAGCAAGTGATGAGTCCCGAGAAATTCGAGGTTCATTGGAATGAGATCCGCGGAGGAGTTGGCACAATGAATATCAGAGACTCCAGAGTCGTTTCTAATTTTCAATACTCAGAAGTCGGAGGATCGCTTTCGAACTCACCTCGGGAGTCTTGATCCTTCGCGGCCGCTTCTTCGGAGACGCTTTATCCGAGTCTCGACCGGCACTTGAGCTGCTGCTCGAGCGACTTCTGCTGCCGCGGTAAGCTTTAGGGATCTCCTCCCTGCGTCGCTCATGCTTGGAGGATTTGTGGCGAGACTCTTTTTGCGACGACTTTCTGTGTCTATGGCGGTCTCTCGAACGGCTCCTTTCACGTTCCTTGTCCCTTTTACGCTTATAAGAACTCACAGATGATCCTTTCGACGGCGATCGGCTGCGGCTCAGGCTGCGGGACATCCTTCGGGAATCCCTAAAATTAGAAACTTTCAGCCTCGAGCACCTGACGATCACGGAATGTACATACTCTGCAATTCTCAAGAGCGTCTTGTTCACGCATCATGAGATGCGCAATAATATCCAACCCAGCGAATAACGAAATCGACTCGGGTCCGCGGAGGAATTCCATGAAGTGAACTCATGGGATTGCAGTCGTTCATTCTAGTACCCTGCTCTAAGAGTCCAGGAGGACGCATTCTTCAAGATCAATGATACGACTCCAGCTGGCCTCGGATGAGCCCAGCGAGTCGTATTTCATTCTTCTATCACATACTGCATGAGCGTGAATTTGATCACCCCGACGAATTCAGGGGATTTTCCCATGTTGCGACTGAGGGAAAAGTCTGGAGTGGTCGCTTCATCGTCCTGAGACAATGCGTACTCTCAGGTCTAACTTACCGTCCGAAGAGACGATAGAAAAGCTCCTTCCGAAAGAAAACCGAATCAATCCGGAGCAGCTGAAGCACTGTCACACGCGAAGTAGACAACACAAGGTGAGAATGACAACTGCCGGCTCTCCGATCTAGTCCCTGAGGAACGGGGAATGGTCACGAATGTTACTCCTCAAATGAATGTCCGCGAGGAAGGACAGGGTACGCGGAGGGGTCGCTTCTTAATGAAGAGATTCTGAAGTGTAGTTTCTCTAATATCGCCCGCAGACTACCGAATGATGATGTTGATGATCTGTGCTTGGGATCTGATGTATTCTTCATCGGATGTGTGCGTTCAACACGGCCGACGGTACCAGAGACTACAGCGTTCTCTCCTGGAGGCTGAGTGAGCGAGATGATGATGAATATCCAGGAGATGATGATATTTCCCGTTCCCAAGTCTCCCTCGAGGCTTCCGAGAATTCCCCTCCTGTAACGCTTCCCCGATCGCAGGCTTTCTCATCTGGCACTGGAACACAGCTACCTACTCCTGAAGTGCGACGCGTTTTGATTCGCCCTCTCACGGAATAGGTACTCGGGAGAACTCTGTGATGTGTGTATCGAGTTGTTTCAATTTGAGCACCTCTAGGGAAACAGTGATTCCTTCTGCACATGAGGTCTCCTTGTGCTGTCTTCGGTTATTTCACTACTCCGCATCCGTGGGTGCTAGGCTCCGAGTACCATACAGGCTTTCGCCAGCGATGATTTGCCTTATCGTCGCTGGCCTCGAGCACACGAGATCACTAATTTCGTCTCCTCAATTCTCGGAGTCTGCGAGCCCGAGGGGCGCACCACCGTCTATAAGGTCGTCATCGAGCCTCCGACAGCGACTCACTCGGAAACTGCTCTAGATCGCGGTAGATCGGCGGAGCGGACCGTGCAGGCTGTGGCCATCCGAGGGAATTTTCTGCGCATTTCCTCATCTTCGCTGACGAAATTTAGGAGCTTCTGGGGACCACCAGAGCTCAAGACTGCTTATAATTCATAACGTCGCGCCGTCGATAATGTCGTTGCCTGGGCCCACAAGGATCCCATGAAGCTCTCGATAAGAAACTGATTGAGAAGCCCTGCACGGGGGGAGGGAAAACGGACCGTTTCTCACTCGATAGATCAAATAAAAAATTTATTCTCGTAGTGTTTCATTCCCCTCATTCTGATGACGGGTATGATAAATTTCAGGAACCACCGTCGCATAAAACCGGACGCCGGTAAGCTCATGCAGAGAGTGCGTGTTTTTCGGGAAACTGGAGCGTGTTCTTCTGAATTCCGAAGTGCCGTCGTTGTTCTCGGTGAGACTTCATCCTCCCTGGATCGAGATACCGGGCAAGATCCCAAATGCTTCCTCGACCTCTCGACTCGCTTCATCGGTGGAACGAACCGCGTGATCCACCGCTCGGAAAATGCATCGATGGGAGCAATTGGGCGCCGAGAGCGTGACACGACACTTGCTGAAATCGTTCAGCAACCCTATGGAATGGTCAATTCCGCGGTTCCTCGAGGAGCAGAGATCGCAGTCGTCGATCACGAGCCTCCATACCTAATATACCATTTAGGATACTGGGCCATCTCAAATTGAACATTTCGACAATCAGCCCCCAAAGTAATCTGACAATCGGATGAGCGATTTTCCCAGGAGAAATCCTCAGAAATCGACTCGTGCGGCCTCACTTGTTCTTCCGAAGATATCTGCACCGATTCGCGATCTCACAAAACCATTTCAGAGCGACGAACGGATAAACTAGGGCAGCCGTTGCGTCAAGGATTAAACTTTTATACGATCGGGATGGGGTACCTGCTTCGATTCATTCCATTGACAGCACCAGTTTAGAACACCTTCCTGCAGGACATGATCTTCCGACGAATGTTCTCCGGCGGCAAGAGAGCATGCTTGAAAATGTTGCACATAGAACCGCTGGATACCGGAGCATGTTCCGTCGGCGACGAATTCTTAATCACTCATTGACCATAAGTTTATTCCCTATTGTTGGTGTTGAGCGGGCGTGACGACCGGTGCTCGCGAAGAGACAAACATGGTGAAAGCGAAGATAGCTCTCGATATGAATGGCGGACAGCTCCGATGGCGCGCGGCGCTTTCTAGCTGTACCCTGAGATCTCGGCAAACGTATCTACTGTATGGGTTGCGATTTGAGGCATAACGCTGAGACAGGAAGCGGTAGTAGATGAAGGGAGCCATCAGCATCATGCGGCCCCTGGAATTATTAGATTTTCGAATAAGTTGGGGGCGATCGAACTCAGATAGCCGAAGTTCATATTCGATCGTTCTAATCGACAGATATCGGGACGATCGTATGACTCACGTGAAAACCCCGATGATAAGTATCACCATCAGCATAATCTCCGTCATTGCGATGATTTGAAATAACTGTGGATTCGAAGGGAAATGCAATTTCTGAGTCATGGTCTCCTCAGCTTTCATCAGCATCGGGAGAAATGAAGGCTGAGACAGCGCAAGCAGAGACAACACCACTCAGAGTGATAGGTGGAATCATTATTCAGAGAAGCTCAAGGCATTCTAGAGCCACAGCGCATATTTACCGAAACGCGATGTACGAGGTAGATGGTGCGGAGAATGTCAGCGAACTGAAATAATGAATTGTTTTTGGCCCACTGTCTCTGGACTTTCCCAGTCTCGTTCCGAGGAGGATCATCATCAGCAGACTCACCTTAGAGTTCTGCAATCCAGCTTTCGTGAGCAGTTTGATCGAGAAACTCGCCGAGTGCAGAACTGCGAAAAGGAGCGGCGGCACCAGAACCATCACGGACACGGGTGAAGACAAAAGGAGGAAGAAAAACGAATAGAAAAGGTAATGGAACGAATCCTCGGTGACGAGTCGAGCCAGGAACTGGACGTTCAGTCTGACCTGTAAGCAAAGGCTGATTAGAAGAAATTTCTATGGATGGACGACGTATGCGAAGTCGATGTCTCGTCCGACTCACCTCGGGGATTCTCTGATGAAGCCGCAAGGCAGAGGTGACCCCGTTCGTCATGAGAGCTTTCTGGTAGTAGGAAGATGGGCCCCCGAGGAAGTATAAAACTGTGAACATAATCGTGCTCATCCTCGATATCCACAACAAGGAGTCAAAATGTTTTTCAACGAAGTCAACCTGCCGGAAAACGAGACGCATTTTAGGTTCGTGAAGATGCATCGGAAATCAGGGCGACGAGATATTGCTGCGGTCGCAAGACTCAGAAAGTCCATTAAAACTCACAAAAATCTGTTTCAGACTCTTCGGGCCTTGATTAGCTTGACGCTGCTGATCTCCACCGGACGCAGCATCGGGTCTCGCGGATCCCGGGGACGCTATATCAGCCATCCTGTGAAAATTGTTCCAAGATGAGAAAAGACAATAGGGAGTCCCTAGAAATGAAGGTTTCGTGGCTCTCAGGGAGCGAATCTCAATCATGCATATGTCGCGCTCGTGTGGAGAATATGCGAGTGGGATCAGATGTCGGCAAGATGGAGGTCTCGAAGGGAATCAATATCAGTGCTCGAGGTACTCGGAGTCGCTCCGAATGAGCGGCTTGGGGATATGGCATGCCTTAGACACCTCCTCGGTACACCGAATTGTTCAACATCCCGTTCAAAAGCTATGAGTATGCGAATTACCCTCGGACTATTGACACGAACTGAGGAGCGATTGATTGGGGAATGGATCTCCCTTTCGAGATCGACTCGCCATAGATTCCCAGAAAAATGCACTTTGAGAGCTCACAGTATCGCACGTTCCTCGATCGAAAGTTGAATAAGACAGGGAAGTGCCAAGAGGACATCGATTGAAGCCTTTGTCGACGGGGACGCGAGGCATACATGCGGCGTACATTCTATACATAGATATAGAAGCCAATCGATGGATCAATCGATCGAATTGCATCATAAGCTCAGATTCTCGGAGCTTAAGAAATTCCGCTACACTCCCGTGACGGTCATTCTCTGCGAGTCTATTCAATCGGTGACAGGAAATTCGAATGAGGGACCCTGAGTCTTGCGGATAGTTAAGTCCAACTGACAGGATCATCCTCTGGCCGGCATGTTCTTAGCCCATATGATCCAAAGTCGGCAAGGACTGGTGCACCGGCTACCCGACATCGAGCTCGAATACTCAATGACGATCCAGGAGTGATTGCGTTTCGAAGGCAGGGAAACGCTTACTTCAAGCTCCCGAAGACTTCGCTTTGTCGAGCACGGTCATCCATCGATTCAACGTCCACCAACTTGTTGGATATAGATCATGGCGAGACTCGCCACTCACCGAGATCACCCCCGCTGACTGCTTCACAACGTGAATTCTATCCAGACCTCAGCGGGGGTCAGAGAATAGGGGGGTATCGGAACTCGCCGGCAGATCTCGGGACGAGACTTCGTCCTCTAGGTCGCCAAGTTTTTTTAAAATGTGTCATATTCATCTGGAAGGATGACGAAACCGACGTCGTGCGCAAGGAAAACACCTCCAAGACAGGAAGCTCTTCTACTTACGCGATAAAAAGCTTCTGATGCGATCTCCGGTTGACAAACTTTCCAGGACCAGAATTCCTCGAAGTTTCCGCTCTCTGCTAGCCAGCTACAGAGCTCAACGAAGATGATGATGACGATAAAAGAACACAGCTCCAATTGCGAACTGTCGGCAGATCGATACAGCCCCGCGATTAATAACAGCCCGTCTCCGCCGGGTTCGGCTGCTTGACGTCGCCGTTTTGGGATCATTTCTCGACCTAAATCCCCCTCCTCCCCGAATTCAGAGTCTGAGAGATGAACCCCAATAAGAGATCGGCCACTAAATCCTCGGAGTTCTAAGAATCTGTTCCGACCGAGGATCATGAAGATAGCTGCATCGAGGGGTAAGTTGGCCGCGCGGTCAATTCAACCAATGCAGCAGCGCCCTCCTGAAGTCGATCTGGAGAGAGTTATGCCGGGTAGGCCGGAAGACCAAAAATTTGGCAGAGACCTATCGATATGGGGAATTCCGACTGAGAGCCTCTCGGTGGGGGCGTGAAACCAACAGAGTCCGGGCGGCTCGTGATTCGCTTCAGAGTGAGAGCAGAAGTCGCTGGATATTTTCTGTACTCGAATTATCGCCGAACCTTGTCCTCGTTTCTGACTCACGAGATATTTCCGCCTCATTCCAACAAATTTCGGAGGCGAGGAAGTCCAATGAAGATATAAATATAAATCATCATTTATCAAACACAATGCGATCTTGATCCACCTCGAGCTATGAACAAGGATCAATCCCAAAATGATCTCTCTTTATCTGATCATGAGTCCGATTAGAGACGTATGGTCCCGCTTGGCTGGCGTTCTCGGAAAAGCGGATACGAGAAGCCGACCGGTCGTCTAGATCAAGGATATTCTTGCGGAAAGTCAGCGGCAGATTCCGCTCGATACACTAGTTCGTGAACTTCGGCGAGCAACAGCGAACTCTCGCTCACTCAGTAATTTTTCTCGCAGGCTCTCAGCTCGTCGAGACTCCCGCTCGCGTGACTTGAGAGCTTTTCGATCTGGGCAGATAAATCAACCATCTAATGCAAGGGGAGGAAAGTTTCGCGGGTTCGGAACCGAACTGACCGCCATGAACCAGTGGAGTGACTAGTGTGCCAATGCAGCTGCGCCGACGATCGAGACCGCGAGTGATTCTCCTGGATAGTCGAGTCTTAGAGTGCTGATTCGATAGACGATAGGGGGAGATCCCTCCCAACTACGTGCTCAACAGTTGTTCCGTTCTATCGGTCGGCTCCGATGACCCGGAAGGATCCAATTGGGTTTCTCCGCGGCTGCATCGAGGCGGTGACGTTTTTTTTGTTCCGCACAACACACAGGGGTGTTCGTATCTCTAATCAGCAGTGCGAGTGAAGCTGCGGAGGCACCTTTGACCGGCGTTCGGGATCGAACAGTGGTGTCCCGAGTAGCTGGCCGTCTTTCCGGAACACTCTCCGGTTCTGAGTGAGCCCCGTCGGTGAGTAGAGAGAGTTCTCCTAGCAGATATATGAATCGAAATCTGTCAGTTCAGCACCGCCGTCAACTGACGTACAGCTGGAACGAGTACACGGGCAGAGGGTTGTTCTGTACGAAGATTCTGAATTCAGGATGGAGGGTCTGCTTAGTGGTGAGCCTGTCCGAGCTCGTTTGCGGCACCTATCACCTTACCCTGTAAATATTTTGGAATTCGCCTTAAATATCCGTCAGTGTCTTCCCATTGTTCCTTTGATCGTCTTATCTCCCCGTTGGTTTCTTGCGTTATACTGTGTCTGAATCGCGGCGGAGAGAAGACTCGTGACTCGAGTCGTACTCGAGTGAGAGTTTGCGAATTCCGGCCTGACGAGCTGCAAGGGGCGAACATCCCAAACTCCCACTCATAGTTCCAGGAGACGTCTTCCCATAACGAGGAGGGAGTGGTGGTGGAAGAGAATCGCGGGTCTCCCCCTTATTGGTGGAGAATCGTGCTTCAACCAGAGCTGATAATTGTAACCGTTGTTGGATGTGTTTGTGCGAACTCTGACACCGGTTGGAACGAGAGCTCTGGACAGAATTCGTCTACTGTCCTCGTCTGCCCTCACCCATTGTCCCGGAGGAGATTAAGTGTTCGAATACTTCCTCCTAAATCAGGCTCCTTTCTAGTTGTCCGCTCCATTCGCCCTGATGGCGGCGTCAAACGGAGTGTACTCCGACCGTGGGTCATCGGCCGTCGAGGCCGACTACGCTTCCGGAGTCGGCGGGTTCTTCTCGAGTGACTCCAGAAAACATGAGGATCTGAAGAACATGCTCGATTCAAGCAAAGATGGACTCAAGCTGGAAGCAATGAAAAGAATTATCGGTGAGTCGCATGAATTGGAATCGGATTCGGCATGAGATCATTGATTCTGGAAATGAGTTGACCGATCTGAAGCGTTTTCCGAGTATTCATGGAATTCCCTTACAGGCATGATAGCGAAAGGTCGCGACGCATCGGGACTGTTCCCCTCGGTCGTGAAGAATGTCGTCTGTCAAAATATCGAAGTCAAGAAATTGGTCTACGTGTACTTGGTACGCTACGCCGAAGAACAGCAGGATCTTGCCTTGTTATCGATCTCGACATTCCAAAGGGCGCTGAAGGATCCTAATCAACTCATACGAGCCAGTGCTCTGCGAGTTCTAAGCTCCATACGCGTAAATGTGATTGTGCCTATCATGTTCTTGGCCATCAAGGACGCTGTGTCGGACATGTCGCCGTACGTCCGCAAGACTGCGGCCCACGCCATCCCGAAACTCCACGCCTTGGATCCGGAGCAGAAAGATGCTCTCGTCGACGTGATCGAACGTTTGCTCGGCGACAAAACGACGCTCGTCGTGGGCTCTGCCGTGATGGCTTTCGAGGAAGTGTGTCCCGAGAGAATCGAGCTGATACATCGCAATTACCGGAAGTTGTGCAATCTGCTAGTCGATGTCGAGGAATGGGGCCAGGTGGTCATCATCCTTATGCTTACGCGCTACGCTCGTACGCAGTTCTTAGATCCGAACTTGTCCGACGTGCAACCCGCGAACGGAACCGCCGAGCACGAGCTTCCCCTCGACAAGAAAGAGCCCATCGCCATCGACCCGGACCTTCGGCTTCTACTGCGGAATTGCAAACCTCTGCTCCAGAGTCGCAACTCTGCGGTGGTAATGGCCGTCTGTCAACTATACTACCACTTGGCGCCGAGCAGTGAACTCAATATCACGACGAAGGCTCTCATCCGACTGCTTCGATCGCACCGAGAGATTCAGACTGTCGTCCTGAGCAATATCGCTACGATGTCGAGTATGTCGGCGAGCCGGAAAACGATGTTCGAACCTCATTTGAAGTCCTTCTACGTACGCACATCGGACCCAACCCACATCAAGGTTCTAAAGCTTGAGGTAAGTCATCCTCAAGCAGCTGGTCGGAAATCTGTTTCGGGGCCATCGTAATCCTTTCGTACTGCAGTTGAGGAGCGACGAGCTTCTCCGCACCCAAATTCCTGCCAGACGGGGTTGGTCCGCCTGTTCTCATTTTGGGTCCGCTTCGCAGGTTCTGGCGAACTTGGCCACGGAAACGAACATCTCGGTCGTTCTTCGGGAGTTTCAGACTTACCTTCAATCGACAGACATGGAGTTCGTTCAAGCCACCATCCACTGCATCGGTCGAGTTGCCCATCAGATAAAAGAGGTGAGAAAATCGAAGTGTGTGAAAAATCGACATGGCGACGAGCGACTCTCATCCTCGCAAGCGCGGAATATAAATTCCAGTGAAGATCCGGGCCACCTTAGCAGAGACATATCGTTTCTGGGTGATGTAGCATTTATTCGCGAGAGCCGCTATAAACTAATGAAACTTTGGTTTTCCAGGTGGCCGACGCCTGTTTGAAAGGATTGACGGCCTTGCTATCGTCGCGCAATGAGCTCGTTGTCGCAGAGAGCGTTGTGGTCATCAAGAAATTATTACAGATAGAGTCTGGTCAGCACAACCAGATAATCCGTCAAATGGCTCGTCTTCTGGACAAGATTCAGGTGAGAAAATCGGAACGAGGATCCATAACCGATGGCTTTATACAGTTTGAGCGATCTCACTTTGTCACTCTCTGAGCTCAGGGGACTGCATCGGGAAGACAAATGCGAGCCGACCCCTCTTCTCACGCGGATTGTCGCTTCCACAGGTACCGATGGCGAGAGCCTCAATTCTGTGGCTCATTGCCGAATACGCAGAGCCGAAAATCGCCCCAGACGTATTGCGTAAAATCGCGAAGACTTTCTGCCAAGAGGAAGACATCGTCAAGCTCCAAGCTCTCAACCTAGCCTCGCGTCTGTCTCTCACCAACAGCCAACCTCAGACAAAGCTCATCGTGCAATATATTTTCAACTTGGCGAAATACGACCAGAACTACGACATCCGTGATAGGGTTCGATTTCTGCGTCACCTCTGCTCTGGGAACGAAGCCGGGACCGGCCTCGGCCGATTCGCCAAAAAGTTTCTCTTGGCTTCGAAACCAGCGCCGAAACTGCAATCACCTTTCGGGGGACGAGAACAATATCAGATGGGATCGCTCTCACATTTAATTAACCAACCGGCTGCCGGTTATCAGGAGCTCCCAGATTTTCCGGATGAGGCCCCTGATCCGTCGGTGCGGGATGTCACTCCACCGCCGACGCCTGTACTGACGCGACACGAAAACCGGAAATCGTCGAAGTTCTACGAGGACTCCGACGAAGAGGCTCGAGACTCCTCCGGCAACGGGAGCTCGGACTCGTCGGCGTCATCGTCTTCGGATTCTGAGTCAGATTCAGAAACAGATTCTGAGAGCGATGATTCGCAGGTGGACGGTAACGACAGCAACGAATCGAACGAAGAAGACGCGAAGCCGAAATCGAAACACCAGTCAAACGGCTCTGAATCACTGTCCGAGTCGACGGACGATTCCGACATCTTGCGCAAGGCCCGGAATCTCAACAGCGCGAAGAATCATAGAAATTCCATCAAGGGCGGAGACGCGCTCCGTAATGGCAACAACAACAACGAGAAAAACCTCAGGAACAATCACTTGAGCAAGAATACGACCAGCAAGAAAATAATTCCTTCCGATCATGACGAAGTTGGGGACAACAACGACGATGAGGAAGACGACGACGACGACGACTCATCCTCGAGCAGGGAGGATGACGATGAGGAAGATTCGTCGTCTCTCGGAGAGGAGAAGGCTCCGTCGCGCAGACCGAAGAAGCCCACGAAAAAAGTCTCAAGTCGACAGGAACAAACGAAACAGAAACCCCAATCTGTCGACCTTCTGCTCGACCTAGACGACCTCGAACAGAACATTCCAGCTCCCACGTTACCCCTCCCCATGATTCAGCAGACTCTATCGACTATCACCCCGAGTGTCAAAGAGCCGGCCAGAATCGTAACCCCGGTGACGAACGCGGTGATGCCCGTACTCGAGCGCCAGATGTTGGTTTCGGTGCAGGATTGGAACGGACTGGAAGTCCTGTACCGATACACCCGTTGTGAGAACATATATTCACCGAAGATGACCTCGTTGGAGTTCACTTTCGAAAACAAGACGAACCGTGTTTTCGAAAAAATCGCCATCAGACCCGCCGACGGAATCGCGATCGAGGTGAAAGCTGCCGAGTCACACGTAGCTCTGAATCCGGAGTTATCACTCGTCACAACGATCGGAGTCGACTTCAAAGACAGCGCTCAGGAGGTCCGACTCGTTCTGACCGCCGATGGGGCTTCGTTCGAGGTCCGGGTGACGCCTCCCGTCGGCGAAATCATTCGTCCTGTCATCGTATCTCAGAATGATTTCGAGCACTTCAAGAAGACTCTCGGAGGAATGTGCGAGTCGTCGACGGAGGTGAGCTGCGCCCTCAGTCCCGAGCAGCTGAGAGAACACGTCCAGAGAAAGCTCAATGTGATCGTGGTTGAAGACAACAACGTCGAGAGCGTCGTTTCGGATTCTGGGAAAGTTCGCTTCGCGGCACAAACCATGAGCTCTCAGTGCCTTGTTCTGATCGCGATCGAACGAAGCAGTCCAGAGGGTCTTAGAATCATTGTCAACTGCGAGAGAATGGTCGTCGGGAAGATGCTTCTGACCCAAATCAAAAAAGTCTTGCAGGAAGCAGGATGATATGTCCCAAATGGCGAACGCCACCTCAAACCCGATTTGGACGAGTATACCTCGCCGGAAATACACGTACATCAAGTCCAATCAGATGCCGATGAGATCGCTTGGAAGCCCAGAGCACAAAGAAACACCTTCGGGCCAAGAATCAAGTTTTCGAAAACCAGTGGCTAAATGTAGCTGAGATTTCATTTTTCGCTGCTATCGACCGTGACGGAAGGGTCGAATAGGGTCTGAAATAATTATTTTCGTGAGAGACATCATGGGATCGTGTCGGGGAGCCCGGAATCTATTTGACTCGGGATAGTTCTGGTGAACTGATTTAGTGCGCCCTGGAATGCGTTGCCACTCGATCGGTGTCGGCACGGGGAGTATATCCGACATGGATGTTGAGAGCAGTCACCCAGCTCAACTGAGGGTCAATTGAGTGAGATCGAGAATGAGATGCTTTCTGAGATGAGCTGACATTTTAAGGATGATGATGGAGCGCCGATGATTCGATTTGCGGCAAATAAATCAACGGCTATGCCTGTATACTTCGGACGTGCGTCTTGCAATTTTTTCCGCCCCGAGCGAGAACCGTTCTGATGAGAGTGATTTTGACGCTCACCATCTAGATCGCGAGTTAGGTACGATTCTCAGGTCACCAAGGCCCTTTCTTCTGCAAAGATCTGATGACTGATGACTTGAGCCGGAAATCGATAACGAAGCCGATAGCAGTCATCAGTTCCTCATTCATCAGTATCAGTAGCGATGGGGAAGCGCCGAAGAAACCAGAAAGCGGGTGCAGCCGAAGATCTCTTGAAACACATTGGGTCTACGGCCGAAGCAGAGAAAAGAAAACTCTCCCCAGAAATAGAGAAACTCGTCATCGATATCGGTCGCTCGTACACCGAGACCGGCAGGGTACGAGGCTCGACCGAGGGCGACGACCTCATGAACCTGATAGGAGCGTCCGCGTGCGATGAAATCGTCGGAGCGGTATCCTACGTCGACCCCAGTCAGGTAGCTGCGCAAGTCCAAGCCGAAGCTGCCAGGAAGCAGAAGGCCATGCAGAGATATTGAGGAATAATTTTTGAGCAGCTAGGTAGCAGCTATGGGTGGTCGATCCGTAACGAATTTCGAGAGGGACTTAAAATTCTGAATTGTGTCTCGATTAGAGAAGTCTACCTTTTTCCTCTGACCCGACTCCCATCAGCATCCATGAAAATGAAGTCGCTGGATACGAGTAAAGGCGAGCAGTCAGACGCAGATCAATCGAATCCCGAGAATGGCTTTCTTAGGTTCGTGGAAAATCAATTCAGAGCTGGTCCTAGACGAATGGCTTTGCGAGGAAATCCCGGAGACCGATCAATGGCAGCATCGAGCCATAAAGGATTGTATCGGTACCGGGATACTTCCGCGGCGCACAGCGATGGTGCTCGATGCTTCCTCATAACGCCAACAAGATGGTCGACGGATCAATGACTGGTGGTATCCGGTAGAAGCGCGCCGCGTCTCGTCATCCACGGCTGAGAAATTGACATATCAGAAATTTCGAAAAATGTTCCCCGAGACGCCCTATCGGCCTGCATACCTCCGAGACCCTCTCCTAGATTTTCTCTGAGCTCGAGAATAATGACGAGGAACACTATACGTCTACTGCGACCGGATCGGCCGTATCGAAGCGCCGGAAACCGGATTCATCTCGGGATTCAACGAGCTAGGGATCGTGACCACGGGCTTATGTACCTGAGCCGCATCGCGTAGAAAGACCGCTGAAACTGAAACTAACTGTCGGATTTCCTCCTGGACTCTAGGCCCTAGAGTCTAGGGGAGTGTATCGAGTGCCAAAATATTTGGCGAATCAGATGAGCTGCTTCGCCTGCCCGCTCATCGAGCTGATTCACTCGTCTCGTTCGATAGCCTCAAGTAGAGACAATATTTTTCTAATGCTCTTGTTCTCGAAGCATCTCCTTGAAACGAGTGGTAATATTATAAGTGGATACAATCGTGGAACAATACTTTTCGACGGATTGAGATAAGGAGTAGGGGAATCGGCGCTGATCCCTCGAATTTCACCGAGAATGCCGATTCGTTAGCGGGGACGAGGATTTCGCCAACCCGTGTACACATATGTTTGGGTCGGAACTTTCCGCTTGACATCTTCTCATAGATATTTCAGCGAACTAAGCTCCCGGTCAGGCTCGGCAAGAACAAGGGTAACTCTTATAGTATCAACAGAAAAATTTATTTCTGCCAAATTCACAAAAACATCTCCGCTAGAAGGTGTATTTTGTATTGCTATTTTCAGTGTTCGAACGAGGGAGAGATGGTTGGTGATTCAATTTTTTCTTTACATTATATTCGTTTATCTGTTGTTGCTTTCCTCTGGTTTTCTCTTGCTGGTATCCCCTCCTAATGCACTACCTTTCGTTCCCGATCGTTTTCTTCTCGAGGAGGTCGATTCATGAACCCTTGATTTATTCCTATGTACACGACGATGGCCACGAAAACAAAGTCCAGAGGGAGCTCCGGTGTTTCCGTCGTAGGATCTGCCTAGTGTCGCCACAGTATCACAGAAGTTCGCCCGAAGAAGGTTTACACAGTCTCAGTCGAGTGATCCATTGATTCATTCATTCAAGACATATTTACAGGATGGCAGTACTCAGACACAAAATCCAGCTTGATAGAGAGACAAGACCGCCGGACGACGGATCTGTACAGCGGGGAATCCCGATTCCCGAAGACCTGGAAGCCAGCAATGAATCTCTGGCCTCGACGCAGACGTACTCGATCTCGGGGGGTCCCTCAGCGGAAATGTTCATCACCAACGGAAGATTCGAGACTACTCAGGGCTTCCTCCGCCGACGGTTTCGGGGAAGCTCCCCGAGAAACGAGCGGCTCGGGAAGACAGAGATCCACCACTGACTCGGAGGTAGGAAGACCAACCAATCGAATGAACGTAGTGACGTTCCCTCACTCTGAAGAATGGGCATCTCGAGCGAGCCGGATACCGTGACAGATTGAGCGATGCCTCCCTGGAGGGGAATGCGAAAAACCCAAGGGTCGAGGACAGTATGATAAGCGAACACTCGGGGAAACATTGAGGACACACGAGAGTGGTCAGGCCTTCCCCAACAAAACTTCTCGAACAGAAGACTCAAAAGCTGTGCCTGTGCATGACCTGATGAGGTCTTGACCTTCAAAAAATGAGGAGCCTCAAATTCTCTCGGATCGGCTTTCGAGCACGGGAGCTGTTCTTGGGTAAAATCGTGTTAGGAGTTTCTCGCGATCCTAGGAGCGGTTTTCGACCTTAGTAACAGCCCGACGTAAGCACAATGCAAAGAGCCGAACGGCACAAAAGAATCATGTTGATGAATATAAATGATGATGAAACAGACTTGAAAATCGTTAATTGTGATCAGATGAGATCTTATCACTTCACAAATACGATCACTCACAACACGATTCACGGCGAGAATCACAATCGGGCCTCGCTCTTTAGGATTTGGGCGTCTTGATCGAGGTCACGTGCGGGGCGAACTTCGGGATGGGATCATGCAACGGGATAAGAATGAGAAAGAGGGCCGAATTAGCAGACGTGATACATGAGCGGGGATGATTAGCGGAAACACTCGAACCCCGCGCGCGCTGGGAGAGATCTCGGAGCAGAGGATATTCCCTCAAAGTTTCCTCAACGGTAGCCGTGAGCGCATCTCCTCCGTTCCGGCGTCGGACTTCATTCTGACTCCGGAACCGAGTGACGAGAGAATTATACCTTCAGGAAGAGGACAGAGGGGAACCTTGGTGCATCGACCCGGCGAGCAAGCGAGCGACTTGTCCAAGGTTCTAGCCCTCACACCTCTTCCCTCGAAATCTCCGCTAATTCAATATACCATTCATCAAAAACAGCGCGTACGCCATTACGAACAGCCAGATTAGCTTTTCCGACTACCAGCTGGCTTCGGGAAACGGCTGCTGAGACGACGGCGGGGTAGTTTTGCGTTTCTCTGAGATACTGTCTAACTTTGGTTTCTTCGGCGGTTCTGATGTGCCGGTCAGTGACGAGCTGCGATTGGTCCTAGCTTGCGGACTGTAATCATCTCCTCGGGATAAAATTGCTACGGTCGGCGGACTCCGGCTCGTGGCGGCAGGAGCTGCGGGAGGCACGGCGCCACTTGTGGGAGCAGCGTTCTGAACGGGTACCGGTGCGGTATTCGGAGGAGATTTCGATTTCGCTTTCCTTCGTCGATTTTGCTTAGTCTGGTGCTTGTACAAGCGACAAGGGATGGCGGCACTGTCCTGAGTCCGCAACAGTTTGTTACAATTTTCCACGTTCGACGGCACGAAGGCCAGCACCTGGTCGCCCCAGCCGCACTTCTTCGCCCCCCCAGCCATTTGCAGGAGGAGCCGAGCGTGCGAGTGATCCTCGGGCTCCTTCCATTCGACGACGTATACATCGGTCCGGCTGACAGCGGCGGGATTGACGTCGAGGTCCATCACTGATATGTCGAGTGATGGTCCGAAATGCATCTTGTTCACGAACGGCTTGAAGTATTCACTGCGGAAATCTGGCTCGCGAAAAACGTTTTTCGGTCTCGGTGCCACGCTGTGTGCGAAGGCTGCGAAAATATATCCGGTCAGCCAAGCGTCGAAGCCGGCTTCGTGCTCTCGGGTCATGTCGTCATATGCGAAACCCGGCTCGGAGTGGATCTTCGGTATCGGGAACGCTTTGTCATGTTGGTTTTTGATCTGGTTGAAAACATCGACTAGTCGGCTGCCTCGGATGGAGGCCTTGATCGTGCCTGTGACGGACATCTGTTTTGTGTCGAACAGGACGGGGAACAGTTCTCTGCACAAAAGTTGGAACTCGCCGAAATCCTCCGGGAGCGGTGCGACGAACTGGTGGATGACGTGAAGGATATCCCGCAGGCTATTGTGTCCGACCACAGGCTTCTGGGAGGTCACGAGCGTTTTCAGCACCGAACCGACTCCAAAACTATCTCTGAGCGCCTCCATCTCGTCCCGATGCCTCTGGCTCATACGCTGATGGGGAGACATATCACTGCGAGATATTTTTATGTGTTTGGAACCGCGTTGGTCCGCTCCGTTGTCCGCTCGCACGGCTTCCATCTGGAACTTGTCGTCAGGGAATTTCTTCTCGATCTGTCGGTATACGGTCATGCGGATGAAGTCGTTGCAGGCGGGGAGCAGGACACTGTCCTGATCCGGCATTTTGCCGCTCATCCATTTGCTGACCAGCGGCATCACACCTTCGAGGTAAATTCTCACTGCGGGGTCCATGTCGAGGAAGTTATCCGAGGTCAACGAGGAATTGAGCGCATCGGCTGAGGTGTTGAAACCCTTGACGGGCCTGCCCGCTTGCTCTTGCTCGAACAGCGATGCGAGCTCCCTGATGTGACGTCTCTTTATTCGCTCTTGATAGTCATCGAGCTCCGCCGGTCGGAGGAAGGGCACGCCCTCTCTCACGCATCGGTTCAAATCGAAGCCGTGGTCCACGAGGAAGGAAAGACAGCTGGCTTGATTCCTGAACCTGAAGGCTTGCCTCTGGTCGGGGTACGTGAATATGTTGAATGTCTTCACGTTGTACGCCTGCTTCTCTTCGTCGAAAGTCCATAATGATAATCCGAACTGCACAACGAGGTATTCCGAAATACCGACACGGAGCTTCTGATACCGTTGAGCAACCGTGTCCAAAGGATGCAACGGTTCCGGCAGTACGAGGCCTGTGAACTCGCAGTCAATGGCTGCGAAGGAGCACTTTTCAATCGCCTCCTCGATCTGGGGCTTCAAGTCGTTGAAATTCGATTTTGTCACATCCATGATCCGGAATGTGGGCGATGCCTGCAAGGGAGTAAGAGGGCGAATAATTCTCACATTGGGTACGTGCACTCGAGGAGGAAGGTCTCGACGTCGGAATGGAAAATTTCACCACCGGTTCGGAGGACGCCCGAATCACAGGAATCCATTCTTCATCGAGAGATATTCATCGAGAGGGGAGATATTGCCCTCCGTAGAAATCGACACGCCGATAATAATCAGGAACTACTTTCACGACTGTTCGAAGGAGGCGGGGCGACGTGGGGTCGTCTGCCTACGGAACTCTTCGATCTGTCCCCCTCGAGAGTCGGGCACTGTGAGAACTCTTGCACCGTCCGCCGGAAACACTAGATGACTTCACTTCCTACGCAACGGAACTTCAAAGGCCAATGGAGATCGGAGATGCAGATAGCCGGAGTGACTCGTCGAGCACTGATCTCCAAAGCAAATTGACTCAAGACTCGTTCTAGTCAACCACCAGAAGTCAGTCATCGTCATTCTTAGTTCCCGGCGATCGACCGGTTGAGCGGGCGACTGACCAATCGACCGCAGGAGTCACTAAGAACCACAATGCCACGAAAACAGCATCGGACCTTCCACTTCTAAATCCGTAGGTTTCCTCTTGTTCGAGCGACGCTGACGTTCGTGCACAACATCGGTGCTAAGCTACCAGGCAGGAACCGCGGCATCGAAAGCGAAATGATGCAGCTGCGGCCGAGGCCGAAGAGGGGACATCGTACGGAAGAAACCTCGACTCCCCGACGGAAGCTCATGGGTGCGGAACGCGCAGAGATGAATTTCCATTGACGCACGTATCATGCTTTGAGGACCATGCACTGACATCGAGGAGAGCAGTCACGACGAGGAGAAAATGTTTCTGACCCGCCGGCTCGTCGGATTTCAAGTCGGGCGACCCTAGGGACATGTAGAGTCGATGAGCGGCGCTGAGCACAAACACAACACCAACTGACCTAAATTGGTAGCAACGAGAGGAGGTAGCTACGGCGCCGGGGGAGGGGAAAAGGTATTTTCTCCCCGGACAGCATAGACAGTCGGTCCAACGGTAATGGATATGGAAGTTCGACTGATCGCGAGATAGGCGAACTGTCCCGCGAAACGTTGACGGCTCTCTGATATACATCCATTTGCATAGAAGTCCACCGGGAGTTCCGGCGCGCATGCGTAGTATCTGAATTGCCTCCAGGCACCTGAGCGAAGGGGGGCTCTGGGCTCTCAGTGGCGTGCAGGAGCTGCAGCTTCCTTTCCACGTACATCGGAATCAAGAGCGGGACACACGGTCTGTGAAGTGGAAGAGTCGGCTCTGACATCGGTTTGTCTTCGAATTCGGCGTCTGCTTCTCCTTTGGTGCCGCGGTGAAGTCGTCGTTCGTCGTGAGCGACAGCTCGGCACCGACGGTACGCGCCTCCCCGATACGCGCCCGGACCGAAATAGAGCGAGTACCTCGTTTCCGACGCTCGATCCCGAATGACTTATTAGAAATTTCTCGATAGAATTCGGGCATACCTCGGTAGTTTTGGCCAAAACTCGATCTTCCAAGCGACGGCAAGAGGTACACCAAGTCAATTGAACGGCAGCATGGGCAACTATGACAACAATGCAGCGGTTTGATCAGTGAACGTGCATGCTGCTGATATAATGTGGGCACGTAAATATCCACGATTCGCGTCGCGCATCAGGTCTCCGAATCACCGTGCGTCAGCGGCATGATGGCAGCAGCCGCTATGCGCACTCCTCGGTGGCGAGGGTAAATGTTGATGACACGAAACGAGGAGGACAACACACGCAGGGACGATTTCGACCATCGACCGAACAGATCGTTTTTGGCGCCAATTTCAAATCCACGCGTCAAGGGGCTCTGCCGAAGCTCAGTCGAAGGATATTTCAGCTCCGCGTCCCGACTTCGATCAGAGTCGCGATGACTTGGGATAGAGGAATGAAGACGGGAGGAGAGATTTCCGTCCAGCTCTTACCATGCGGGGGTCGCCGTGCACCGGACCGACGGGCTGGCCGGAGAAAAGTGCCGGATCACACGGACGAAGATCCGCAGCTCGATTTATACGCGATGGAAGGTTAGGGCTAATCAAGTCGTGCTTCTCCCCGACAGATATTTCGACAATCATCGATTGATTGGTCGATCGATAGATAGATAAAGGGAGCGGTCTCCAGATGGACGCACCATATCTTCCTGGAATTAACTTGCGCAGCATCGAGCTGCGCTCCCGCTTGATCATTGATCTCGGCTTTCAGAAGACAAACGTCTCTGAGGAGTCCAGGGAGGTTTCGCCTCGGGTGCGGACCGAATACATGCCTCTCGAGCCTGACCGTTCACTCTCGAACGGACCCCCTATCCGGAAACCCCTCGGAGAAAGTTCTCGGAACGGCCGTCTCATCGAAGCTGACCGCCGTGGTACACTGATCGAGAGCTTTGAACGAATTAAGTAGAGTGAGAGGAACTCTAATAATTGGCAAGCTTTTTATTCAGACATTCGAGCTGGGGCTTGAGCGGCCCAGACGATTCGCCGACACTGTTTGCATGATGATGATACATTCTTCCGCTCTCGCGATCCTCCTCGAGAGAAGGCTCCTAAAAGATATGTACAGAATATTCCCAGGCTGGATCATATTGCGTAGGGTTGAGTTTTCGAACATCGCGCGTATTCATGAATCGAAATAACAATACGGATAGCCGAACTCTCGGTGGAATTGAACAAAGCTCTGCAGGATATGCATGAGAAGTCTCCCTGGGCCTTGGAACTTCTTCACCTTCGTCCGGTACTCATTGATGATTCCGACAAGCTTGGCCAAGGATCCTCCCTGACCCAAGTAAGCGAAGAGCGTCGGTCTCAACGAGTCTGCTTCATCGTCGAAACTATCAGGATCAAGAGTCACGTCTGTGATGAAGATTCGTAGTTGGGTTATCACCTGCTCCTCGAAAGCCCTTCGTTCCGCCTTCGACTTCTTTGGTACGAAGTCCCGTGCGTTCGGCGACAGCGGAACCGGGGCCTTGAGCTTCCGCGGAACGAAAACCGCAGCATGCGGCGAAAGCTCACACGAGCTGCTTGACGTGTATCCTGATTCACTTCCGCTATCCATGATGTGAGAAAAGGAATCAGCCTTTTTCGGTTAGGAGAGATGATCGGTGATCAGCGCAGTAACCAAAAATGATAGCTCCTGAGCCTAACGAACGCTTCTTATATTGAAAGAGAGGTGCGAGATCCTCTCTCGCCTTCGATCCCCCCTCGACGAAATTTCGAGGCTTCATTAAGATTAAGGGCAATTAAAAATTAGCCTCGCATAGCATACCGCGAGCCTATTCCCCGCCCCTACCGGTCATTGGGGTCTGATTAGGTCGGATCTGAAAATGACTCGCATTTTCTCGGGTAGCACTCGAAAAATCTGAACATCCTCAACAGAAGAACTTCTCGCTGCCTCCCCGCTGGAAAGATCGATCTCTCATTCGAAGACTTTTGAGCTCGGGCATTGCTATTTCCGAGCTCCGCCACCGGACATGAGATGACGATTCAGAAGGGCTTCTTTCTCGGCTCTAATCATTCTGAGGAAGCTTGAACCTATCCTCAATCGGATACCGCGAGCGTCGTATGCTTTCCATCAGCGATTCGAGCAGGAGCTCAAGGATCTATGGAGATCCCGGACCGCCCTGGCCTTTCTCCTTCAGCCTCTCAGCGAATTCCTCCCGTCGAGAATCGCAGAAGCCCGGCCGCAGAGAAGGAAACTTCTTGGGGCTGTACCAAACAGCCAAGCTTAAACAGCCCGGCTATTGTTTTCCACATTGCTCCCGAGGATGGATCCGGAGGAACGATGTCCCCGAAGGATCAAGGCCGAGTACCCGCACATTCGTCCGGTAGCATCGATCTAAACCTCGCCACCTTCTGCTAGGGAGGCGTCATTGCGATGTCCCTTGAAATGGAGTTCACAAAGCGAGAGCACGTTTAGCACATTTGACTACCCTCAACAGCGTCTCTCTCTTCAGTAGCCCCTGCTCTTTTTTTTGTACAATTTATGTACAAGGCATATTCAATGGCATATTACACATATTCAATGATAATCTCGTCGGAATCTCAGGCTGAAGTTGTCAAGGTATCCGCAGGGAGAACAATCCGTAGAGATTCCTGTCGCGTCTGATTTCTGATGTTTCCCACCCCCCGCAGGAGGAGGCATCTCCTCTCGGGTCGACCCGACTGTCTCGATATCCTAATTATCGAGTTCTCTTAATCGATTGACCGATGCGTGTGCTGCTCCCAACTTTTTCAAGTTGGACCTCACAGCCCAGGTTCGACGTCCCGATCGTTGTTCTCCACATTGGGAAGACGGATCGATAGAAGCAGATGTATCCAGGGAGATCGAGGCCAAGTTAGGGAATCCTGCCCTTCTGAGGGGAATATTTCAGGCGGCGCGGCGGTGATCGAACTTTGTCGCCGCGGCATCCCACGACGTGGAGCGCACGTAATGGACGAGAAGTGACAAACGCGTTCGCGACTCGGCCACCCGCTGGTCGGCCACAAAGAAATTATAGAGGGATACTTCTTCGCAACGAGCATTCCGATGCACGCGGAGCAGTGATTAGAAAGCGGCATCTCTGAACCAGGAGCTGGGGCGAGGTTTGCATTCTTGGCGGAAGTCCTCCCTGTCGATCTTTGAAGAATGCTGACGCTCCAACGCTGTGGAGAGGAATCGCTCAGGGGAACATGTTGAGAACGGATGAGCTCCCATGGGGAATCTGTAAAGCCTCTCAACGCCCCTGATCGATCGCGACTGAGGAGGGGATCGCTTCTCCGATTAGCGCGATGCTCCATCGCATCCGATCAGAACTCGCCTACGATTCTACGCCTGGGCTTCCTAGCTATGCTTGAGCACCAATGGCGAAATCAGCAATCCATGAGTTGCGTCAAATTAAAGAAATAACGAAACCGGAGGAGGAAGTGAAGGTAATGCAAGATGGGGGAAAGTTTCGGTTGGTTGAATTTTCTGTTTTGCTCTAAGGGGATCAGCCCGGATTGACTAAGAATGGATACTCGGAACCCCTCCCCGCAGACGACCCGAACTTCGTTGAGACAGTATCCGATAGCGATTTTGAGCCATCGGCACCTCCAAGATCGCGATCGGTGTCATCCAAGCTGCGAGCGTCGAGCGATGCCGTGCCGAAGAAATGTCGGATGTCTACACCTACCTACATAAGTGTCGCTGTGTTTCTCACAGTAGCACTTATATTGCTGCTCCTTTCGGCGATTGAGAAGCGGCCACGAGTTTCTACGACTCCCATCAATGAAAGAGAAATTATGACGCGTAGGTCGAGAACGTGCTGCATACCCCGATCTATCGATTCCTCATGGGTACCTCGAGCCGTGGAGCCGACTTGAGGGATTCCAATCCTTGCAGATTTCACTGTCACCAAGAATATTCCGAAGGGTTCGTGCAGCTTCTTCAACTCATTCGAGCCCGAATCTTGATCCTGAGGGAGCGTTGAACTCTTAATTTTGCCCTCGTAGTCCTATCCGAAGATTCGGTGAACGATGTGGTCAACTCGACTCTGCGAATAATGAAAGCGAGATTGGACAATTATTATACGCTCGTGCTCAATAGTTCTCAGAACTATTACGCGAAACTCGCGGAACTCGTTCTAGGAAGCGACGATTTCACATTCGATCCGGAATCAACGAAATTATATCATGAAGGTCAGCCGCCAGCGACCAGCCGCGGATCAGATCGCTCTCCGGATCCTCGGAAGTCCAATTAAATCGAGAGGAGGCGTGACCGCCTGCATGATCTAGACGAATCTCCCCCTTCCAGAGATTCCGCCCTTGGCCAGCGTTAATATTACTCTACCTCATCCCAAGATGAAGGCTCTGGTCCGGCAATACTTCTGGGAGATTCTAGCGGAAGGGGAGAAGAATCTTTGGTTGAGCGCCGGTCCGGTGCATTTGGATCTCTTTCTCACTCTGCCCTACAAGAATAATCGTAAGATGGGCGTGGCAAACTCCACGGTAAGGCCCTCGCATTTCGATCCTTTCTCACGTTGCGATTCATCAAGTCTCGCATTCCCCGTGCTCATTTCTCACACTTTTAAGGCCACGCTGCCTCATGAAGTGACTTGCACAGGTAGGGGTTGCAGCTATTACGGAAAACGCGGAGGCCTTGAACACCTCTCGGAGAGGTACATCAGCGCTTTGCAAGAATTCGCCAAGGAAGGTTTCCCCCAGGCCTTCCGGGAGGCGTTGTTGGTTCATGGCCACGTCAACGATTGACTCCAGTCTTATAAAGCGTCTATCATCTTCAATTGATGTGATGTTTGGTTTGCATGATTTCAGCGTCCATGAGTCCGAAGTCGGATCTTTACAACGGACAATTATTCCTTCGGAATGGAGGGGGAATGAGCTCCGCTCCGTCACACTGATTGTTAGTCTTCTACTTCAACGTACTCATCGAAAGAATGGCTTCCTTGCAGGGCCAAAAGCGATTTTTTCCAGCCGGGAATGCATAAATTATAGATTAGATGAGGATGATGGTCAGAAGAGCTTGCAATTTTCCACATGAATTATCT